GATGAGAGACCACACCATTGTGGTTATCTGAGTCATTAAGATCTTTTTTATATAGTTCTTCTGTGTATTCTTGTCACTTCTTAATATCTTCTGCTTCTGTTAGGTTCATAATGTTTCTGTCCTTTCTTGTGCCCATTTTTGCATGAAATGTTCCTTTGGTATCTTGTCTTTTCTTGAAGAGATCTCTAGTCTTTCCCAATCTATTGCTTTCCTCTATTTCTCTGCATTGATCACTGAGGAAGGCTTTCTTATCTCTCCTTGCTACTCTTTGGAACTCTGCATTCAAATGGATGTATCTTTCCTTTTCTCCTTGCCTTTTGCTTTTCTTCTTTTCTCAGCTATTCACTTTAATTGTGATTAAATTTATTTATCCTGGCTTGTAACAGTAGAGATTTGAAACATTTACAAGATGTACTATTATAAACAACATTACACAAATGTGAAAATGAAAGTGTAAGTTGCTCAATTGTGTCCGCCTCTTTGTGATCCCATGGACTGTAGCCTGCTAGGCTTTTCTGTTCATGGAATTCACCATGCAAGAATACTGAAATGGGCAGCCATTCCCTCCTCCAGGGGACCTTCCTGAGGTCAGTCAGTTCAGTTCAGTTGCTTAGCCATTTCCAACTCTTTGCGACTCCATGGACTGCAGCATGCCAGGCTTCCCTGTCCATGACCAACTCCCAAAGTTTGCTCAAATTCATGTCCATCAAGTTGGTGATGTCATCCAACCATCTCATCCTCTGTCATCCCCTTCTCCTCCTGCCTTCAATCTTTCCTAGCATCAGGGTCTTTTCCAATGAGTCAGTTCTTCACATCAAGTGGCCAAAGTACTGGAGCTTCAGCTTCAGCATCAGTCCTTCCAATGACTATTCAGGACCGATTTCCTTTAGTCTTCCCTTCCCAACCTTCTTGGGCTTATTTCCTTGTTTATGGAGAATATTTACCTAGAAGCCAAATTGCTAGGTCATGGGGAATTTGTTTTTCACCTTTACTAGATATTGATAAATTTCCTTTTATTTAATTGAAGTGTAGTTGATTTACAGTGTTGTACCAATCTTTGCAGTACCACAGAGTGATTCAGTTATATTTAAATGGTTGAATTATTCATATCTTTCATGAAATGTATGATAGCTTCCATTTTCAACAAATTCATCAATACTATATATTGTCAACTTTGAATTCCATGTCAATCTGATGAATGTGAAATGTATCATGCTTAAATGTGTATTTTTTGATTACTAGAGAAGATGAATATTTTGTATTTATAGGTTTTGGGTTTTCTTTTCTCTGAATTGATCAGTTTCCTATTTGGCTTTTTATTGTTTTGGTCTTCTTATTGTAGTCACTATGTGGTGTAGATACTAAATATGATTCATCTGTCACATTTTTAAGTTTATCATTATATCCTGGGTAGTTTTCAGTTTAGACGTCATAAATTTTTATGTATACCAATCTTTTCTTTAAGGTTTTGGGTTTTTTGTATCTTGGTTAATAAACCATTCCTTAATCCAAATTACTAAGATAATTTTCCTCCTGTGGTTTTAAAAAATGTGTATGTATCTTTACATTTAGTTGTTTTTTTTTTCATTTGAAGCATTTTTGTTTTGCTTTTTGTGGTAGAGAGTTACTCTTATTTTTTAATCTATGTGGCAAGCCGATAGTTCCGGTACTGTGTATTGCTATATCTGTGTTTCCTCTACTGATCTGTAACATTTTCATCATATATTAAGCCTCCTTGATAATTCTAAGCTTTCTACTGTTTCATTGACCCATTTGTTTGTATAGTACTGAGAGTACTATTTATCAAACAATATAGATTTGTATGTCTCAATGTAAATGTTCCACTTTGTCAAAGTGTATTTGGCTAGCCTTTAGGCTTTACCTCCATAAAACTTTTAGTAAAAGTGTGTCAAGTGCCAAGATAGATTGTTTAATAATTTTTATTAGAATTTGTATGTATTTGTCATCTTAATATGCCAATTATTTCTGCCCGTCATTTCTTGCTATTAATTCAAGGTTTTTTAATCTCTTTCTATAACATTTTGTAATTTCCACATTAAGATCAGGCATATATTTTATTGTATTTATTTTTAACATATTATGTTTTTGTTGTTATGATAAATGGGTTTTTTTTCTAGTAAATTTTCTATTTGGTTAGTGATAGTGATTAGAAGCATCATTGATTTTGTCTGCTGATCTTATATCCAACAATTTTGTTGAACTTACAAATTCTATTAATATCTATAGATTTTCTTGAATTTTCTAGGTAGACATTCATGTTGTCTACAGCATCTTATCTTTACTTTTCTATGTCTTTTCATTTTGGTTAGAAATTTCAGTATATTACTGAATAGCTGTAGGGTCATCCTTATCTTTTCCTGATTTATGTTAAATGTGATGCTTGCCATGGATTTTTGGTGATATTCTCTATTAGACTAAGGAAGTCTACTCTTAGTTTTTTGAGAATTTTTATTGTGAATGTGTGTAAAATATTATCAACTGATTGCTTTTGCATCAATAGAGACAGTTGAGGTTTTTTCCTTTACTCCCTTAATACAAATCACAGTTATTGATTTTATAATGTAAAGGCATCTTTCTTGCCTGGAGAATCCCAGGGACAGAGGAGCCTGGTGGGCTGCCATCTATGGGGTCACACAGAGTCTGACCCAAGTGAGGCAATTTAGCAGCAGCAGCTATATAGCTGAAATAAACTAGTGATAAAGAATCTGCTACCAATGCAGGAGACTCTAAAGATGTGGGTTCGATCCTGATCAGGAAGATTCCCTGGAGTAGGAAATGGCAACACACACCAGTATTCTTGCATGGAAAATTTCATGGAGAGAGGAACCTGGCAGGCTGTAGTCCATGGGGTCACAAAGAGTTGGACATGGTTATGAATGCACCCACATATCATTATCATATACATTATATGATTCTGATAAATTGCTATTATTCTGAGTTTACCATTGAGTCTTACTATTATATTAACATTTTATGTCTGTATTCATAAGTGAGGTTAGTTTATTATTTTTTACAACTGCCTGTTTTTAACATTAGTCTCATGAAATGAATTAGGTAGCTTTACCTCCCTCTCTTATTCTTTCACACTTTTCTTTCTTTCTTTTTTGATTTATTAAAAATACTGAAACAGATTATCTTGCAAGGGCACATGGTAAGGCAAGAGGATTTGACTACTAATTGTTTAAGTTGATTATTCAGGGTTTCTGAATTTCTTTCTAAGTCAACATTAATACGTATTGTGAAGAGAACTTTCATTTCCATTGTCTGAAGTTTTCATGACATAAAATTGTTCATTGTATGTGAACCATGCTTCTTTTAACTATTAAAATTTGTTATTTGTATAAAATATTTTTCTTGGTTGATTTACTGAATTATTTTCTGATTGTATTGACATTTTCAAATAAATTACTCTAAAATTTGCTTCTTTATTCGGTTGACTCTTTACTAGTTTATCAATTTTTCTCTGTTTCTGATTGTTTTGCTCTTTTATTTTCTATAGGTTTTCTTTCTAGTTTTCCAATTTTAATTTTTGTTATTTATTCTGTATATTTTATAATTTCCACTTGACTTGTCAGTTATTTGTGTATGTGATTCATAGTTTCAAAAATATGTTCAAACTAAAAAATATAATTTATTGCTAATTTAATTGCAGTAATGGCAAGAATGCTTTCATTTGATCTTTTTCTACCCAGCTTCCCCATTAATGTTGCCTACATTGTATTTTACTGTCTCCTTTAACAATATTTTACTTTTATAATCAACCATTATTTTTTGTATGAATTTTCCTACTATTCCAGAGCATTAGTTTTATGATTTAAAAAATCTGCTTCAAAATTAAAAATGTAGAAAAGGGCCTATGGTGAATTTCTCCATCATTTTGCTCTATCTAACCAGTTCCCTTCTCCTCGGAAAGTTTCAAAATGATAAATTTCTTAAATATATGGAGGTAGTTAATCAGGGAAATATATTTCAATAAAACCCCTAAATACATGTCATTATGGGCAGAGAAAAGGCTATATGTGCAGTTATTAAACCCCAACTTGAAGGGATATAAAGATTAAATAAAGCATTGTGTATAGATATGGAAGTACTTAATACAACTGACACAATACATGTTCAAGCAATGAGAAAAATACATACAGATTGTATTCATTTTTTTTGGTTTATGCAATTTTATTGAAGAAAAATAAATCAATTACTAGCAGAGCTATTAGTTGATCATTCATCCCTTGACAACTTGCATCATTTATTCAGTGATATATTAAACAGGGTATTGGAAGATAGATTAACTAATAGCTCCAAGCCTCCTAACAATTTAAATGAAAGTTTTAAAATGTTTTGAGACCCTATTTTGGAATACAAAAGGTGTTTGACTTCCAATTTCCATTCTCTGTAGAACAAGAACAGTTCACATCTTTACTGACATGCATAAAATACATCACACTTTCTGTTCTGCTGATGTTATAAATTCAATACCAATTCTCCAGGCACACCAGTTATGAGCGTAAAGTATATCATGTAACCTCAAATCCCTAACAGTGGAAGGCTTAAACCAGAATGGATGCTGCTAGAATGATGCTGCTTCCTTTGATCTGACAACTCGGCATCCATCTCCCTCCCTCTCAGATGATTCTTCAGCATGTTAGAGCAGTGAGGAATGGTTTTAGTCTCATAACCAAGTTAGAGTGAAGACGTTGGCCACATAATACACATGCTCCAGTTTTTAAAAAATTCTGAATCTTGGGCAACTCTTCTCTTGTAACTACTTAACAGTTTCTAAAAGCCGTTATTGTCTAAAGCTGGAAGAGCTTAAGTCTTCTCAGATGAACATGTGAATAAAAGGAGGAAGGTAAACAAAAAATAAAATTAAAAAAGATAAGGTCTGATAGGGGAGCAGCTGGATAAGAAAATCAAAAAAGGAACCGTAATTTAAAGTTTAATACAGCTTCAATGCAGGTTATTCTGACTTTAAGGAAGCATCACATGGCATACTTCTGAGTCCATTCCCTAGATATTCTGTTATACTTATCTCTGTCTGTTTTACAGATCCACGCAATCTCTGGCACTAGGGGGTCATCTGGGTTTGGATCACATAACAGTGAACAAATGGATAAAAGAACTTTAGAAATAGATAAAGCAGGAGACCACTGTGATCTTAGACTATCGAGACAAATGCTGCCTTTACTGTTAATATTTGGATAATAAATTCTTGTAAATGCAACCTGAGGTGGTTTGAATGGGTAGTCTCTAGGAAAATGAACTGTCAAAAAGAATACAGCGCCTTGATATGGGTTGTCGTTAGGTCCCATAATTGTGGCTTGTCAGTGAAACACATCATCCCCAAATGGACCTACAGAACATTGTGCTGGAGGGTCATGGGCCAAATCTCTAAGTTCCTTATTAATCCGTTTCAGCGCCATAGTCTGCTTTTTGTCTGGCTCCTCACTGTCTCAGTGTGTGCTCAAAGGTCCAGCCAAAACTCTTGATTATTCTGGAGGCTTGGAAGGATTGTCTCAGTCTCACACCAGCTCTGCCAGACACAGACGCTTGGCTTTGAGGAGGCAGATCTCGGGAGAGCTTTGAGGCTGGTTAACAGGAACTGTCTGTATTAATTATTATTAGGGCAAATTTATGATTTTTATGGGAGGCTGGATAGTCATTAGGAAGACAGATTCATCATCAGATACTCTTGGTTTAGAGTCTCTGCTTTGCCACCTTCTAATTGTGTTGTCTTGGACAAGTTAAGTTTAACCTCTCGAATTCTCAGATTTACTATCAAATGGATGTCACAATTATATTTAACCTATTAGAATTTTCACAATGAAGTGAAATTATGGATACAGAGTGTAGACACCTAAATTATGATATTGCTTGTAAGATAATAGGCTCTTCTTCTTCTTCTTCTCCATCTCCTCCTTCTCTCCATCATCACCATCATCATACTAGTGATAGTAATTAGTGATAATTATAATTTTAAAAATTATGCTCTTTATTTGAAGGACCAGAAATTGATTGAATTTAAACTGGTAAGATAGGCTGACTTTAAATTAGGAAGTTTCAAGACTGACAGCAGTGTGGCTCTCCCATCCTTAGGGCATTCAAACAATTGTACTCAATTAGTTTATTGGGTGGAGAAGGCAATGGCACCCCAGTCCAGTACTCTTGCCTGGAAACTCCCACAGACACAGGAGCCTGGTGGGCTGCAGTCCATGGGGTCACATAGAATGGGACATTACTGATGCAACTTAGCAGCAGCAGCAGCCGTTTATTGGGAGTTATTAAATTGTGTAATATAAAATATATTTGTGCCCATTTTACAGAACATGAAAACAGAACTACCTAAATGACAGAGTGGTCAATCTGTGGATTCCTAGGGGACCTTGGAGATCATGGAGGTTGCAGCCCTGTTAACAAGTACTGCCTTATACAACTTTCTGTGTCTCCACAACACTAGCTCCAGGCAAGACTACAGCTTTAAGGTATGCATATGGTGGGTGGGAGAAGACTGGGGTAGATGGGGAAGATTGATCTAGGTAGGAGGTAGGCTGATGGCCAGATTCCCCGGGGTGATAGAGAAAGCTTTTTGTTATAATTTAATAGAAAGTCTTATGCCAAAAATGTTCCCATAAATAAATACATATGTTGGTTCTTGTTGAAAAATGCAAATCAGATGGTTTCGATGTTTTAATGCTTACTTGAAATACCTTAAATAACAATCACAAACATTTATGTGTGTACATATATACATTTCAATGTATACCACATTAGGCACAGAGAAAGCGTTTTATAAAATGGCATAATAAGACCCCACCAGTGTCCTGACATCAGACTGAAATTCAAATCAAATAATGCAACCCTGGAAGCACTGTAGGAGCTTTCATCACCATGGCAAGTATTCATCAGACTTTACCTTAGGCTGTATGTAAAAAAATCACAGTCCGAAACAGACAGAAACAAACATCTGGTCTGTTTGGCTGCATCATTCCTATTCTAAAATGTTATAATCTTATACTTAGAGGGCATCAAAGCAATCTTGGGCATATGAAATACACCAGTATTGGATCCAAACTCTGATTCTTCTCTATCTAGTAGAGCTGACTTGATCTTTCTTTTCTATTGTAAAGCAGAAATTATAGAAACTGTCTGAGAACTAGGGTATTGGCATAAATTATGGAAATCTGGTAGTTAAACTGAACTAAGATTGTCCATTCCTCATAAAACATCTGTAGAACACAATGGTGCTCTTTGGATATTAGTTGATTGGCATAGATGACAAATATATACAATTTGCTTTATTGAAACTTTCCTGACACAACCAAAATGTTTTCTGAGCTATGGTGGCCAATGTATTCTGAATAGTGCATTCATGGCAATGAAAGATTGCTTTTTAAGGCTACTGGCTGATTAGCAAATTGCAAATTTTTCCAAATACAATGTAGATTGATGACAGATTTTATCTTTGAATTGTAGGGTAAATCAACATTTAAGTTTTTATGGAGAAGTGACTAAAATCAATAATAATGATGACTATAATGATTGCCATTATTATTACATACATTGTAGCTGGTACATAAGTCTTAGTACAAAAAAATACATACTAATTAACCCACAACGACACCATTAAGTAACTTGGAAGTGGTCAGAGAGCTAAGAAATAGTCAAGTTGAAACTTAATAATGGGCACTATGTTCAACCTTAAGAAAAGAACCTCTTTTCCTTTTTGGGAGTAATTTATCATCTATTCCCAAATCAAAAGAAGCGCTCAATAACATAACGTATTATGACCCTCAGGTGCACCTTTTTATTGCTTAGAATGAAGTGCCAATGACACCAAATAGTTTATGTAACTATCTCACAATCTGACTTTTCTCAAAAATGTTCAGGTGAAGCACAGGAATAACTTAGCAGAAACTCTCATAATCACAAATTGGAAAAAATAGCCCAAGTCCATATTTTAATAATGGCAGAAGGTAGTGTCAGTTTTCTAAACATATTTCAGAGCCTCAGGAAGGAAACATGAAACACTATTCACTTACAATATTTAAAGAGTGCATGGGTGATCAATCATGTCTGACTCTTTTGCGACCCCACGGACTGTAGCTCACCAGGCTCCTCTGTATATGGGATTTCTCAGGCAAGAATACTGGAATTGACTGCCATTTCCATCTTCAGGGGCTCTTCCTGACCAAGGGATTGGACCTGCATCTCCATTTGCCGGCAAGGGTCCATGTAGTCAAAGCTATGGTTTTTCCAGTAGTCATGTATGGATGTGAGAGTTGGACCACAAAGAAGGCTAAGCACCAAAGAACTGATGCCTTCAAACTGTATTACTGTAAAAGATTCTTGAGAGTCCCTTGGACAGCAAGGAGATCAAACCAGTTAATCCTAAAGGAAATCAACCCTGAATATTCATTGGAAAGACTGATGCTGAAGCTTCAATCCTTTAGCCACATGATGTGAAGAGCCGACTTATTAGAAAAGACCCTGATGCTGGAAAAGATTGAGGACAAGAGAAGAGGATGACAGAGGATGAGATGGTTTGATGGATCATTGACTCAGTGGACATGAGTTTGAGTAAACTCCAGGAGACAGTGAAGAAGAGAGAAGCCTGGAGTGCTGCAGTTCATGGGGTCACAGAGTCGGACATGACTGAAGGACTGAAGAGCAACTTCTCCTTTAGCAACCTTATTGTTCACCACTGTACCAATGTTTAAATACCTATTTAGATGTATTAGGTACTGTATTAAGTGATAGAGATGAAAAAGGTAAGCCTTTTGCCTTCAAAGAGCTTATAGTCTAGTGAGATGAAGTAGGACTGAGTATGCTCACCCCTGCCTAGGAGTGTACATGTGGGGAGGGGATGTGCTCAGAGGTCTGTGTTGTCTTTAGCACCAAGGTCCATGAACACTTTCATGACTGCTAAAGCTGGAGTTAATATTTACCAGGTTAATAGTTCAGGAAGCAGCATGCTCAGGGCTCCCGTGGGCAAGGAAGAAACACTGCAGGAAGTTCTTGATTTCTATGAACACATGTGAATACGCACAAGAAGGAAAAGGATGGCAAGAGAGCAGACAGTAGCTGTAGGCCTTCAAGGCCAAGTCTGGGGCCAGAACTCAAACCCACAGTGTAGATGTCGGCAACTCTAGCCTCTCAGTGGGAACCCAAAAAAAATTTAGACATCAGGGCCTCTGAGACAAAGACTCAGAAGTGAGGTGAGTGGTTGATGCTATGTTAGGTGCATCAACATAGTAGGTGCAACCCCTAGTGCATCAATCTAGTAGGTGACCCTTGGTCACCTACTAGAGACATGTATTTTCATATGTATATATTTAAATAAAATATGCTTTATATAACATATTTTATAAAAATACACACACAGTATATATGTTCCTATATATATGATTACATTATTTTATATATTATATATTGCTTCCTGACTGAGGAATCACCATGGGGACCACTCTAGTGTGTCTGTGATTAGAGTGAACTTAGCAACCTGAGGTCCAGAGGCATGCCAGATACACTGGAGGCACAGCATGGCAGTTTTCAACCCTGGCTGCATGTTAGAGTTCCCTGGGGCAACTTTAAACAGATAATATAGAGGTCTGACCCCAGGAGACCCAAGTTTGATCCCTGGGTCATGAAGATCCCTTGCAGAAGAAAATGGCAACCCACTCCATTAATCTTGCCATGGACAGAAAATACCATGGACAGAGGAACCTGGTGGGCTACAGCCCATAGGGTTGCAAAGAGTTGGAGACAACTTAGCAACTGAAGCACAACTGACTCCGAGATATTCTGAATTTATTACATGGAGTGAGATTAGGCATTGGCAGATTTTTTTCCCCCCTCATTAATACACTTTAATTTTAGAGCAGTTTTTAGTTCACAGAAAAATTGAGCAGAAAGTACAGAGATTTGTTACATATAGGTGGCACTAATGGTAAAGAACTTGCCTGCCCATGCAAGAGTCACTTGATCCCTGGACTTGATCCCTGAACTGGGAAGATCCCCTGGAGAAGGACATGGCAACCCACTCCAGTATTCTTGCCTGGAGAATCTGCATGGACAAGAAGAGCCTGGGAGGCTGTAGTCATAGGGTCGCACAGAGTTGGACACGACTGAAGCGTCTTGGCATGCACAGACACACCTTGTTCACACACAGGCACAACCTCCTCTTCTATCACTAGCTTGAACTACAGAGGTACCTTTGTTACAATCAATGAGCCTACACTGACACATCATCATCACCCAAAGTCTGCAGGGTGCAGTAGGTCTCACCCTTGTTGTTGTACATTCTACAGGTTTG